TTGGTCGCACGAGCCGGCTTCTGGCCAAAAGGGTACGGAACACCTTCCACGTTAGGAAAGGGCCAAATAAAGGATATAAACAGTTCCATTCTAGCGCACCTGATAAGCTCAGACCATCGCGTGGATGCCAGAGAGGCCTTCTGAGTGATGAATAAGTTGCCCTCAAGTTATTAAAAATTTCTTCGACAGCGTCTGTTGGTTACGCCAGAAGTGACCGCCATCAGGCTACGCCGCCCAATCCTGTGCGTCAAAAAGAACTTCGTAACGCCGCGAAGGTACCGTGGCCGAAAGTCACTAATCCAACAGTTCACAGCTTATGACCTTTCTCGGCTACCGGTACCCCCTAATGCTGATCAGATTTTTGGCCCCGATTATCCCACCCCCTCCCCCAAAAAAACCTAACAACCGCATTTTTTCCTACCAAAACGCATAATTTATTTAGTTACGTGCGATATAAATGTACAGGCCTGATGAGAATTTATCGAAAACAAACGTATGTTCGTCAATTTATCTTCTGATATTTTCAGGAGGAATTTTCCAAAACGTGTCAGTTTAATTTTAGTTTTAATGTAGTTTAGTTTTGCTAACTTTAGCTTAGTTTAGTTTATTATATAGTAGTTATTTAAGTATACTTGTCTAACTTCTGCGATATCTAACTAAACTCAACTAAAACTAAATAAAAAATAAACTACACTAAAAGTAAAGAAAAAGTAATAAAACTAAAAGTAACCACGGGACTAGGGGTTAGGAGTATCTTAGGTGGTGGTATCTTACTAAAATAAAAATAAACTAAAATTAAACGAATAAACTAGATAATAAACCAGAAACTAGACTGATCTAAAACTAAAGTAAAACGAATAGAACTAAAGTTAACCACAGGACTAGGGGTACCTAAGGTGGTAGTCCACCTTTATTGTTACCCTTGTCCCCCCTAACCTGCTTTCTTCGACTTGTGATTTAGAAACTATCGTTTGTCGACCCCTTGCACATTTCACTTTCAATTTTTTTGGTAAGGGTAATAGGCAATGCATTTGAAAACCCTACTGATTACATGCCGGTGCGTCATATACATCTGTACACGCACGCCTAAAATTATCACTATTAAAATAGTATTGACAAACAGTGAGTAGCATTATTTTTAAATGGCGTTGGGGTTCGTGTGGTGTTAGTTCGAGTTCCTACTGTCGAGGGACAACAGGGGGCACACATAGCCGACGCCTGCGGCTCTCAGGAGACGAGCCTCGCCTGGAGAGCTTACAAACCACTTTGTGTGTGGCAATACTAGCTGAAAACATTGATATTCCTTACTTACCCCCCCTCCTCCCCTCCTAACAGGTGTTATTCCAAGTCATTTCCCTCACCTCCTGGACTATATGTTTGACTTGGAGGAGTTCAAGTGGGTAGCTTGGCGTCGTCTTGTTCCGGAGTATGTCTACCGAAATGACCTACCATATCCCGAGATTCTGGTACCCACCGTGGAGACGGTGCGGCTGGAATGGATCTTGAAAGAGAACTTCCTGGTAAGCCACCACCTCTCTCTTCAGATATGCGCGAATAACTGCATCTGAGCATCTAAATCCTACACCCCACTGCCTTTCTGTCTTGCAGCTGAATCGGCCGATTCTGATTGTCGGCGACACGGGAACCAGCAAGACGGCAACAGCTCTGGCCACCATTCAAAGTTTGAATCCGGAGACTACCACCTCGTTGGTAATTAACTTCTCCTCCAGGACGACAGCAAAGGATGTCCTCCGAAGCTTGAATGCGAACGTTGAAAAGCGGTCAAAGGGTGTTTATGGTCCAATGCCTGGCAAGAAACTCATTGTCTTCATTGATGACCTGAACATGCCCCAGGTATGTGCTGATTTTCAGCAAAAGAATCTCCCCATTCCCCGTGAATAAAATTGAGCAGGCACAACACATGACAATTGAAGATCATAAACGATGCATATGGCCGAAGATTGCAATCGTGGATAGCACAAACATTCGTCGTTAGATGAGTCACAATATTTACTTTCGATTTTCCTTTCTTCGAAACGGTGCATGGTGTGTAGATGATTTTATTATTGTGGTTCAGATCAACTAGGAGGGGAATAAAGTGAGAAAAATAGGTCAAGTGATGTAAATGTTTGTTGGTCATCCTCTCAAATGCCAGTCGCACCTCTAGTTACTCAAAGACGGCCTGGACCACGTCTCAGTATGATCTTAAGCCCATGGTCTTCTACTGAATAACCAGAAGTCCGTTCAGTGCGTTTGCGACCCTCTCCCAGTCCTGAATCCTTAGATATCCTGCCCAATGAGGTATCCTCTTTCCGGTACCTTGGTATTATTCTGACATCTATTTTTTTAATACTCTTCAGATGGAAACCCTATTCGGTAAAATTCATAAACCTCTATATTATATCCGTCGGTCAGGTTCTTATCACATGCCTCAAATCCTAAAATGGCGATTTATAGATGCTTATATTCTCCCTCTCGTTATCTACTGCTCTCCGGTTATTTTTCTAGCCTTGATTAAAAAAAACTTCCACTGCGCTTTCAAGCAATCTCATGAACAAAAACTAACAGCACTCACTTAGCTTGTGGTCACGATATTTGATGAGTTTCATCACCTATCATAGGGTAAAATGGCCTACTCCTAATGAACTTACTGTTTCGCTTGTGTGTGAACCGCCCAAGAGTTGACGATGACTGAAAACTTATTGGCTCGATGCTTCCGATTCGCACTTGAACCCATAGTCAGAGACAGTTGAAGATAAACGTTTCTATCTGATGATGGGTGAGAGCGAGAATCCGAAACATCCGGCCACTAAAACTCATATTCCGGCGATCACATCTCCTTTTTCGAAACTGCCTCCCCCTGAAAGTCACCTCTACGTTTTTATCGGCAGTGATTGAATGGTTTAAATTTTACCTGACCGAGAAAGAAAGCATCCAGCTCTGTGGCCTGGCACTGAAGAAGCTTACGGAGAAGAATACGGCCCAACCGATTACATGGTAACTAATTCTATATACAGTTATATGGTTGGGTCAAGCTTCATTTTTGTGGCATAATAAAGGCGTTATCGAATTGTTAATGTCCGAAACTGCAGATATCCGGTCAATAAATATTCAAAATGTCCTTTACATCCTAATTTGCCCTTTAGGAAGATACATACGGCACCCAGCAGCCCATTGCCCTGATGCGGATGATACTAGGTCGCGGTGGGTTATTCGAACAGGGCAAGGACTTGGTGTGGCGATCGCTGAAAGACATGACATATATGGGTGGCATGGGTCCGCCTGGCGGTGGCCGACGCTCTCTAGATCCCAGATTCACTTCCTTCTTCTCCCTCTTCTACTGCCTCCAACCCTCGGCGGACAGTTTAACCAAGATCTTTGGCAGCATTATCTCGGGCTACTTTTCAAACGGCTTCTCTAAGAAGCTTCAGAGTATGGTTGAGGGTCTCACACAAATGAGCATTGAATCGTACTTGTAAGTCCACTTTTTTGTTTTATATTGCTATAGTTGTTTGGCCTAGAAGGACTTCTTCTAACAGCCCTGTTTTATGTACTCTTATTTTTCAGTATCATAAAAGAGAAGATGCTACCGACACCGGCAAAATTCCACTATACCTTCAATCTTCGAGACATTTCTCGTCTCTTCCAGGGAATGTGCCAGGCCTCTCCTGATCGTTTCAAGGGGCCAAAGAAAATTCTTCGTCTCTGGCGTCATGAGGCCCTGCGCTCTTATTATGATCGTCTAATTAACGATACTGACAGAAACACTGTCATGGTGAGTTGGCTTAATTCGGTCAACAAAAAGAGTGTTAACTCCTCAAACTATCACAGGAGGTTAAGTAATGTAAACCCTGGTGGCTGCGATCTTCAGGCCCGGTTCCTTAGGAGAGGAGAAATCATGCGAAGACCAGAATGGAAGAACAAGTTTATTCTGTACAGAAGGAAGCAGAGAATAGGCAAGAGGAAATTGACTGTCAAACGACCGCATAACCGCAAGCAAGCCGTCGGCGTCTGAAGTGATGCCTGCTCGGCAGCCGTCACATGAGGTCCTGTATGAGTCAGCCTGTGATTGGCTTTTGCGGAGGCCGGAAACAACAAGCGATCAGAAATGCACTTCGTGTGGACCTAATCAATACAACACCCTACCCGGTTGATAGCACCAAGTACTTGCTTTAGCATGCAGAAATGGTCGCTCCGGTACTAGTATCGCAGAGGGTTAGGTTACTAAGTAGAACACTTGCCACTACGATCTTTAGGTCCGGTTTCTTGTGGTAAGGAGAGGAAGTAGAAAGAAAAGTTTATTCTGTACAGAAGAC